CGTGTGTGTGTGTGTGTGTGTGTGTGTGTGTGTGTGTGTGCGTGCGTGCGTGTGTGTGTGTGTGTGTGTGGCGGGCTGTTTGGCGAAGGCACACATTCTGTTTGATGTGTGCGTCTTTGCTGTTTCTTTTTTTTTTTCTCTCTCACACCACGCTCTGATGTACATATTGTGCTGAAGGCGAGTACACGGTGTGGGGACAAGTGCTGGGCGGCTTCGAACACGTCAAAGGGCTGGAGAAGGGCGAACCGGTATGCGCTGTGCGCCGATGGAATAATTGTTCGCTGCTGCTGCTGCTGTTAGCAGTGACAGGTGTCTTTTGTCTTTTGTTTGCTTGCTGTGCCAAATTGTTTGATCGCTTCTTGCTTCCTTTGCTCCCTTTGCTTACCTCCTCGCCGTTACCTTATTCCACCTCACCTCATCACCGCCCATTCATTCATGTTTTGCGCCCCACAATCACTCTCAAGCTCACAACCAAATCCTCCCTCCCCCCAAACCTTTTGTTGTTTCATCATGTTGCATCATGTCACTGTCATGTCATTGTCGCATCAGCCTGAGAAGCCGAGCAAGGTGGTGCAGATGCGCATCCCTGGCGATGAGGACATGGACTGCGTCGACCACCACGACCTCTGTGTCTGGTGGAGCATGCCCGGGGAACTCGGCTTTTCCAAAGAAGGCAAGCGCTCACACACATGGATGCGTTTGTGTCTGTGTGTGTCTGTGTGCGTCTGTGTGCGTCTGTGTCTGTGTGTCTGTGTGTCTGTGTGCGTCTGTGCCTGTGCCTGTGTGTGTGTGTGTGTGTGTGTGTGTGTGTGTGTGTGTGTGTGTGTGTGTGTGTCTGCGTGCGTCTGTGTGTGTCTGTGTACCTGTGTGCATGCTTGTGCTGGTATCAAACAGCGTGTCGCCTCTGTTTTCACTGTACGTAACTCCACCAAGTACTCACCTCCCCTTGTGCCCCCCATCCCCAATACCACCGTGCGTTCTCATCCATCCGTGTTCATCTACGCATCCTCTGACAGGCGAGTGCAAACGCAACGAGGAGTACATGCGGAAGACGTGTCCGCTTTCCTGTGGATACTGCCCTGTCCTTGAGGAGCGCCAGCCTCCATGCATCGACCTCTACAAGGTGCACCGTGTGTGTGTGTGTGTGTGTGTGTGTGTGTGTGTGTGTGTGTGTGTGTGTGTGTGTGTGTGTGTGTGTGTGTGTGTGTGTGTGTTGGGGGTTGAGTGTGGTGTATGCTTGTGATGTACGTTTGTGAAGGTGTCGTGAGTATCACAGCCTTGCACGCACCCCACAGCCCCACATGCATTGCATCCATCTTCTTTCATGCTGCTCACTACACTACACTTACACTACACTACACTACACTACACGACACGACACGACGCAGGACTGTGAGAAGTGGGAGTCCAGCGACGAGTGCAACCTCAACCCGCACTGGATGGCTAACAACTGCCGCAAAGCGTGCGGCAAATGCTGATGCAACGATTCTCAAGCCAAGTGGCACGGGACGCCTTGGGCTGAACACAACACACGCATATACATCAAACACATATGCGCACACAAACACGCATCAAGCATCAAGCACACACACACACACACACTCTCTCTCTCTCTCTCACACACACACACACACACTCACTCACTCACTCACTCACTCACCCCGCATCTCCCCCCCCCCTGGCCGACACGCCCGTGCTGCACCATCCACTGGCGCTCGCTTCTTTGCTTCGTCTCTCGCTTTGCGTTGCAGCCTCGCTGTGTGCTTCCTGTACTTGCCCTGCTTTCCCTTTGCTCGATAACCGTCACCGAAACGACCACAAGAAGTAAACACAACAGACCAACGCAGCGCCCAATCACACATACACACACATCCATATCCACGACACCTTGTGTGCTGAAATGATCCCACATCACAAATGATACGCAGCTTTATCATTTGATTTCCATGCATGGTACGGTGTGTCTGGCTGCAGAATGTGGTGGAAAGGGAACGGTTGTGAGGCAGCGAACGCGGTGCATTTGCGGCACAACGCACGCGGATACGTGTGCGTGACGATACAGGGATGGAGATGTTAAAGTTTCATCTGTTCATTTGGGCGGCGGAAGGAAGACGGGCAAGTGCAGGCAATTGACAACATCACATGGGAAAAGGCTACGCGCAGGCTTGTCCATTATCGCATTCACGTAACACAGAAAGAGACAGAGCGCTATCGCAGGCTATCGCAGGCTGACGGATGGTGGGGTATGAAGACATGACAACAACGACGACGAAGACATCAGCAACAGCAGAGACAGCAGAACCAAGGGAGTGTCTGGAGGTGGCGGCAAGGGCCACAATGCCATTCGCACACGATGACACACATGCACACAATCGTCGACAGTAGACGCACATGCGATCGTTCATAGAATGACAGCAGATGCACACTCACACGCAAAACAACACACAAACACACACACACACAAGCACACACGCACACAAACACACACAAACACACAACCACGCGAGGACGACACGTGATGTCTGCTACGACTGGTCTGTGGCGTCGTGGTTGATGGATGCGCGCCTTCGGAGGCGGCGGAGGGTGAGCGTGGCCATGCGACGATTCAACGTGTTGTACGCATTGCGCATCGTGCGCTTGAACCGCGGGTCCCGCCGTACGCCTGACGCGTCGGTAACAGCCGTGGTGATAGCAATGATCGAGGTGGTGGTGGGGTGGCACAGTATTGTGTGTGTGTGTGTGTGTGTGTGTGTGTGTGTGTGTGTGTGTGTGTGTGTGTGTGTGTGTGTGTGTGTGTGTGTGTGTGTGTGTGTGTGTGTGTGTGTGTGTGTGTGTGTGTGTGTGTGTGTGTGTAGGCGCGAGTCAGTGGGTGAGTGAGATCAACAAGACATGCAAGACGTGCAAGACATGCAAGGTATGCAGGACAATGTCGCTTGTTAGGAAGGCCACAGAGCACGAGAAACGCGCGTGCACGTGTAGTGCTTACCTGTGCCTTTGGTTGCAGTGTCCGTGACCAGGACGCCTGCACAGTGTGGAAGCGATGCGTGAATGAGCGCAGACAGAATGTGTTGGGATGTGATTGTGTCAAGGTGGATAAAAGGTAAAGCCACGCAAATGCATTAAGAGGGAAACCGGATGTCAAACACGAGTGTGAAGGATACAGCTTGATGGACCGACCGGTGACTGAACATACGCACTCACGCACAAAGCACAGAGAGAGAGAGAGACAGAGACAGAGAGAGACAGAGAGAGACAGACAGAGAGAGAGGGACACAGAGAGAGAGAGAGAGAGAGCCAACGCACACGCACACAGACTCACACGCAGAATCAAGCAGCGCACCTTTGACATTTGCGCGCCCCTGTGCTAAACGCGAGTGCGCAGCGTTGATTGCACGATACGCATCCACGGCTTCAAGGATAGAGCTTGCCTGGAAGTGGTAAGGGTGATGATGATGATGATGATGAAGAAGGTGGTGAGGTGCAGCGTGGCGAACGACAGGAAAGGGCCACCGGAGGTTGTCACACTGTGGACAGACGGCAGACAAACACACAACACAACACACACACACAAACAACACAACACACACAACACAACACACAAACAACACAACACACACAACACACAACACAACACACACGCACCAGGTTGGACCAGATGATCATCTCTTGCTCGTCCGGATTCTTCGAGTCGCTGCCGTCACCATCATCGCCATCACCATCACCGTCACCATCACGGCTTTGGTTGTAGTCCGTGTGCAACTTGGGCAAGTCAGCGTCACCGCCATTATCGATGTTGGTCTCCTCCAACCCATCACCATCGTCATCATCATCGTCATTGTCATTGTCGTCGTCGCGCGTGCCTGCGCCCGTTGTGGTGTCGCCTGACCCATCTGTTTTCTCCTCTGCTGTCGACTTCTCCTCGCTCACATCGTTGCCCTCCACATTGTACACGACAGAGACGCAGACGTTGTCGCTGCTCACAGAAGAAACGGCGCAGCATCCATCGTTAGCAGTGGACGGATCGTGCACATACGTTTACACAGCAGTCGCAAGCTCAAGTGCGTGTGCACGATACATTGCACACACACATGCGCCAGAATGCACGAAGACACACGTACGGCCAGGAAACCATGCACCCGGACACGCATGTATGCAGTTCTACATCCACACAAGCGTAACACACGCATATGTCTCACTCGTAGGTGAGGAAGGCCTTTGCGCGAAATGCGTTGAATGGTACGCTGAGGATGACTTGGTTCGTCTTTGTGTCGGTCACGTGCAACCCGTCAAAGTTGATCGACAGTAGCACCTCCTGTTGGTGAAGGTGTGCGTTGTGCGTTGTGCGTTGTGCGTGAGTGTGTGTGTGTGCGTGTGTGTGCGTGTGTGTGCGTGCATGCATGAATGGCAACGGAATGGTGGCGTTGCCTGTCACCTTTGTTCGTTGTTCTTGCAGCAGCGTTCCTTTCTCCGCCGGCTCCACGTTCCCAAGGAATTTCACACCGCCATATGTCGCATACTGCCGCCCACGCTACAAACACGTAAATGGTTTGTGTTGTGTGTGTGTGTTTGTGTGTGTGTGTGTGTGAATGCAAGGGCGCCATGAGATTTTCTGCGGCCAAACGTGTATGTTGCCCACGCACCATCTATCAGTTGATACCACCAGCACAACAAAGGTGGCGATCAAAACCCTCCCCAAACCTTCGTGCCATGACCATACGCGCGTACCTCGAGATAGTCGCTCATGATCTCTGCGGGCGACTGCTGCTGGAACACCGGCAGCTGCTCCTCCAACGATTCAAACACGCGCCGCTCCCAACTCTTCCACCGCAACTGCGCATTGTGTGTGAGCACGTGTGTAGGTGATTGTGTGTGTGTACATGTGCAAGTGGGTGAGAGAGTGTGTGTGTGTGTGTGATTGTGCGTGTGCCAGTGATGTGTGTGTGATTGTGCGTGTGCCAGTGATGTGTGTGTGTGTGCCATTGTGTGTGTGTGTGTGTGTGCGTACCACTGTGTACGTACATGTGTGTACGGCCACGATGAATGAAACAACACAAGAGCAGTGGTGACAAGCGTGTTTTGCGTGAATTGGGGCTGACATCAAGCGAAATGCGTGCATATCCAACACGATGTCACCTTGCCAGCGAAATGCTGCGGCTGTTGTGATCCTTGTGATTCACTGCAAGCCAACGAATGTGTCAAGAGTGTCATGGACCGCGTGCGTGTGCGTGTGTGTGTGTGTGTGTGTGTGTGTGTGAGTGTGTGTGTGTGTGTGTGTGGACACGGATTGGCATTTCAAACACAGCAAACCTGATGACCAGCAACACAGGCGGAGAGATGCAACGAGCCGATGACATTACCTGACATCCTTCCTCGTTGCCTCTTCTCCAAAGTTGAGGAACAGGTGCGTTGCCGCCATCGCAACAGCGTCATCCTCATCAACAGCGCACTCAGAGTTGACCTGATGTGCATGTATGAGTGTGCGTATGTGTGTGTGTGTGTGTGTGTGGCATTGTGCATGTGCAACGAATGCGGGAGAACATGTTGCTGCATCATTCATCACACAGCAGCAGTAGCAACAACAACAACAACAATAACAACAGCAGCAGTAGCAACAACAACAACAACAATAACAACAGCAGCAGCAGCAGCAGCGGTTCCTTACCACTTCATCTGTGAGCTCGATAAAGAGAAGCAGGATAGCATTCTCGTCGCTCACCGTCACCTCAACGCCCTGCAGAGCACACGCGATCGATAAAAAAACGTGTTGAGCGGACACAGCAGAGAAGGGATGTGGCCAATTGGCCAGCACACACACACACACACACACACATACGCTGTATGCGCGTACTGGGTGTGTGAGGGGCGCTTTTCGGAGGTAAATGGCAGGGAACTCTTCTGGATCAGCCGATCTGACACATGAGCACGTGCTAAAGAATGAAGGAATGAAGGAATGAACACGAGGACACCTCTCAAACTCAGGCAACGAACACAAAACCACACATGCAGAGTAAAAGCACAAGGCAGAACAGCAGCAGCAGCAGCTCACTCTGTGTACGCTGCCAGGAGATCCGGCCACAACTTGAGCATCTTGATGGGATAGTGCTCGTCCTTGGCAGGAAGGCCTGGGCAAGGCGACCAGGGAGGACGTGTGAGTGAGTGGGTGAGAGAGAGAGAGAGACTGTGTGTGGTGGGGGGGGGGTGAGTTGACAGTATCGTTCACATCAACACAAACAAACATACACGCGCAGAAAGGAACGTACGAAGCGATGGGGACATGACCCAGATGGAGAAGAGGGAGTGGTATGTGTCCTCAACACCAAGGTGCTCCAGAGTCAGGCGCTGGGAAAGCACGCGCAGGGTACAACAGCACACAATGAACTCATCTTGCACGATGCGATCTACCACGAGAGGCTTGTGCTTCAACATCGCAAACACCAGTGCACACGCATGTGTGTGTCGCGTGGTTGGTACATTCGGGGGGTTTCAATCGGAACCTTGAGGTCGACGGCGTTGGTCTGGTGGCCCTTTGGGCAGTGCACGGCAATCTCTTGGCTGTTCATGAGTGTCACGATAATGTCACGAGCTGCACCACGGGCGTTGCATCATATTTAAAGTGAGACTCAAACACATCATTGTGTGTGTGTCGTGTGTGTGTGTGTGTGTGTGTGTGTGTGTGTGTGTGTGTGTGTGTGTGTGTGTGTGTGTGTGTGTGTGTGTGTGTGTGTGTGTGTGTGTGTGTGTGTGTGTCGTGGTTGCTCACCATCGCCCTTGAGTCTGCCAACGTCTGCGAGGTCCTTCTCCTCCTGATTGAGCGTGAGCGGAAGGCGACAGAAGCGCAGTAGTTGAGGAAGCGAAACCAAACAAGGGTGTGCGCGCAGGTAAGGACATGGTGAGTGGAGGGGGCTCACCTGCGCGGTGTCAGCTTCAGCATCGTCATGGCCTGTCATATCAAAACTTGCGCGATCCCTCGCCCAGGCCTTGATAGTGTTTGGTTGGATCCTGTGGATCGCGAAACATTTTCGCAGTGCACACATACATACACACACACACACAATCTCACTCTCTCACAACACATGCACACACACACACACATGCACACACACACACACATGCACACACACACACCTTCATCGAGGTCTGTGAGCGGCGGGGGCACTCCTCCCTGTTCATCTTGCTGCTGCTCCGCCATTGTTGTGTTGGTTCGCGTCTTGGATCTTGAAAAAGTGGCAGGAAACAAGAAAAACGGCAGGAACAGGAAGGACCACCAATCATCACACAACAGAGAGACAAACAATGCAGCAACCCACACTCTCGCTGCCACCATCATCGTGCAGTGGCGACGATGACACGGTGTGGCTGGGGAGAGGAAGGAGCTTGGATGAAGAGGGAGCATATGATGTAGAGGAAAGCGACGATGATGAGGTCGACGATGGCGGAGATGGGCTGCTGAGCGAGGATGACGTCGATGAACCATTGCTGTTGTCATCCTCAACCTCCACGGCGTCCAGAGCACGGTCAACGGTGGGTGCCAGCTGGTATTCCCGTAACGAGAGCAGCGACAGCTCCGCTTCCAGCCGTGCAGCAGCTGCTTCAGAGACGCGGCGAGAGCTCAAGTCGCTCGGCTTGTATGCGGACGCAACGCTGGTGTGGGTGGGCGTGTTCCTCGTCCTCGTGTACTTGGTCCTGGGATGCGTCTTCTACGTGGCGACCGACAACTCCCTCGTTATTGACGGCGCCGTAACTCGCGCCTTTGTGGACGCCTTCTACTTCACCACCGTCACCCTTTCCACCGTAAGCCATTAAAGGAGGAAGATGGTGGGTCTTTGAGAGGAGGTGACGGGGGTTGGTTGAGCTATGGTGTGATGCGTTATTGCTTCAGATTGCTGGGAGCAGAGGAGCTCCATGCACTCTCCCACCAACAGATGGCCATTACGCCCCACTTCACAAACCCAAACTCTGACACACACACACACACACACACACACACACACACACACACACACACACACACACACACACACACACACACACACACTTACACCTACACAATGCCACTCACCTTGCCAGGTTGGCTATGGAGATGTGCATCCAGAGCAACAAAAGTCGAAGCTGTTCACGAGCGTGTTTATTCTATTTGGGGTGATCGTTGTCGGGTACTGCGTGGGCGTCGTGGTGGTGGAACTGCACGAGGTGCAGCACCACCAAACCAAGGAGCAACTTGCCAGGGCAGAGCTCGAGCTCTTCGAGCCAGCCAGCGTTATCCGCGACTGCGCAGACACCGAACAACCGCCCATCAGACGCATCTGCACCGAACTGCGGCCCGTCATCAAGGTGCGTGCAGTGTACATGTGAGTGAAGTGTGAGTGAAGTGTGTGTGTGTGTGTGTGAAGTGTGTGTGCGAGTGTGTGTGCGAGTGTGTGTGTGTGTGTGTGTGTGTGAAGTGTGTGTGTGTGTGAAGTGTGTGTGTGTGAGTGTGTGAAGTGTGTGTGAGTGTGTGAACTGTGTGAAAAGCGTGTGTGTTTTGCGTGTGTGCGATCTTGCGATCGAGGATGTGTATGTATCCTCTGGAAATGTGTGACACCGCCACGTCGCTTGCTGTCTCCCCGCTAATCTTCTTCCGCAACACATGCGTCTGCATTCTGTCTCTTGGTGTTCCCTTCACAGGCTGCCCTCATCATGCTGCTGACGATAGGCATTGGCATGGTCATCATCTCCCTCGACAATCCACAATCGTCCTTTGCCGATGCACTCTATTTTGCCTCCGTCTCCGGTCAGTCGGTGCGCTCTCATGTGTGTATGCGTGCATTGAGCAGTTGATCTGAAGCTGCTCTGTGAGGTGCGCACACGAGCACATGTGTGGCGCTTCTTGCTTGCAAGCAATAAGGTCATTGCAGAATACAGTGGTGTTGGGCACCTGTGCACACGAATGGTCTTTGCGTGGCCAGCCAACGTTTTTGTCAATCGGTTGAGGTCGTGCGTGCCACTATCCAAGAGAGCACGCGTTCGACCTGTTTCTCATTGTTCGTGCTGTTGTTGCCCTTTCATCAGTGACCACGGTTGGATATGGCGATGTGCGGGTACACACAACTGCGGGCAAGGTCATCGTTGCACTGTACAGCATTTTCGCGACAGCGGCGTTTGCGCAGGCGCTCGCAACCATCGCCTCGTTTCCCATCGCGTACAGGCAGCGACGGCTCCAGAGCCAAGTCAGTGTGGTGTGGTGTGGTGTGGTGTGGTGTGTGTGTGTGTGTGTGCTGCTGGTGGTGGTGGTGGTGGTGGTGGTGGTGGTGTGTGTGTGTGTGTGTGTGAATGTACTCGTTGTGGCGTTCGGAGCCTGATCTCAGCGAGAACCCCGTGCCCCTTTTCGAGTCGCTGTACCCCTTGTTTATCAACAGCCACCCTCCCATTGCAGGTGCTGCACCAACACGGCAGTCATTTGGCGCGACAAGACCTGAACGATGTCATGTTTGCAAACCGCAATGCGAGCCGCCCGTTCATCACCCGCGAGGAGTTTACGCTTCGCCTTCTCCTCCGCATGAACAAGATCACGCACGAAGACGTGCGCGCGTGCCACCGGCAGTTTGCAGTCTTGGACGCAGACCACAACTTGCAGCTCGATCCACACGATGTTCGCGACAAGGACTAACGCATGATGTGTGCGTGTTGTATGAATTGTGTGTGCTCTGTGTGTGTGTGCTCTGTGTGTGTGTGTGTGTGTGTGTGTGTGTGTGTGTGTGTGTGTGTGTGTGTGTGTGTGTGTGTGTGTGTACTCGTGTG